GAAATGTAGTATCTGACTACACAAAACTTAAAACGATACATGAGATAGTAAGCTAGGCAGAATTTGAGCAAAAATAATCGAACAATAATGGCAAAGTAACAGATTTAAAATGTAAACAAAATGACAAAACTTCAGCTCAAACTATAATATTTGTTTTGTAAGGACAAATATTCAGACAGTTTTGCAGCTGAGTAGGTTGGAGTTTGAATATTAGCAAGATGAGCATACAGCGGTTTATCATATTCACTTCTACAGACGTCATTTTTTTCTAAAGAGAAAAGCTACTGTTTGAACAGAATTTCACATCATCGATTTTTTGTTCTTTTTCTGTTTTCACTCTAGTGTGAGTTGTTTTTGTTTCTTAAGTTGAAATAATGCGTTCAGACAGAACTGAAATTCTMCTTGTGTCACTGGCATAGAGTCAATTTCGCATGAGTGGGAAACGCATGGTAGAAATTACCGCACGGTTACTGCACAGTTACCGGACCTGGCCTGCAATGAAGTGAAGYAATGAGACACTAGAATTTGATTACAGTACAGCACCGTCCGTTTCACACTCATACGAAATTGCACTGGATCATTTATATACACGGTTGAATAAACAGCTGAGAAAAAAAAACGGCATTATTCTTTTTAAAAACCTTTCTCTGCATTCAAATTAACGTTAAACGTTATATATTTCTATGTCTTTACTTTGGCTTTTGAAAAACTGTCACTTCGTCGTAATTCTTGGAACTCTCAACCTTGATGTACTTCAGAAAAATAAAACATAATATAACATTTATAATTATGAGAAATGGCACTTAAGATGAAAATAGTAACACAGTGTACAAATACAATCTTAAGCTAAAAACTTGTCACTATTTGGAGCAACTTGTTCAACGGTAGCTTTGCTTGCAGTGTACATTATTCATTGAAGGGAGTGCAGATAGGGGTGATTAATCACCTTTTCCGTTTCGTTGCTTAAAAACACTGATCAATCTTTTCAATCAAGTAATTTACACAAGATAGGTTTGAACTAACACCTGGTGAACGTTTATCCAGTCATATCAAATCAAACGCCAGCCAAATGAACATTTCTACTCCATTTCCTCGTCCTTTTCCACCATGGATAATAATCTTACCAGAAAATGAGAAAACTGCGTACATTATCTTGTATAGTTTAATMCTGATATTTTCGATATTAGGCAATTCACTCATAATTGCCATTGTGCTTCGCAACAAGCATATGCATTCTACAAGTAACTATCTTATTGCCAATATGGCCTTTTCCGACTTGGCTGGATCTATTGCTGCAATCGCTTCAAACCTCGGGTTTTTACATCACATGTCTTATGAATGGATGGCAAGTGGTACTTTGGGAAACATTCTTTGCAAGCTTGGGCCATTTACGCAGGACGTTTCAATCACCGTATCYATTGTCAGTATGGTTGCTATTGGATTTGATCGCTTCTTTGCTGTTGTCTTCCCTATGAAGCAAACTCCGCGAGTATTCGAGACTCGCTTTGTACTTCCTTTGATCTGGGCTATCGCTCTTGCATCATTTTCCATCCATTTGATCACCTACAAATTAGTAGTCCTTGCACCAAACATTTATATCTGTCAAGTTGTCTGGCCTGAAAATTTCGATCCCCAAATATCGAATACCATCTTCTTTTTGATAGTATTCGTTCTTTACTTTGTCATACCATTTGTTATCATTGCAATAATTTACATAGCTATTGCTTACAAAATGAAGACACAGACTGTCCCAGGACTGCAAACGGAAGATGCTGGAAGAAGAAGACGTAGAAGGAATCATGGGATTATAAAGATGGCATTTACAATCGTGATGTGCTTCTTCGCATGCTGGGTCCCATACCACATTTTATGGTTGATTGAGAACTTTGTATGGAAAGACGAAATGCCAGTTTCCATTCAAMCTTATTACAGCGTTTTATTAGAATCGACTATTATTATTTCCTATSTAAGCTTTTTCACAAATCCTTTGGTTTGCATTATTTTCAGTAGTAATTATCGAAAATGTCTTAAGAATRCATTTCCATTCAGTTTGTGCTGCCTGTCSAATCGAATTGGTATAGTCGACCCTGTATCAAGACCAACAGACGGRACAACAGACCGTCGAACGAGAAATAACATTATGATGATGGCAGTCACTGAGTAACTGATCGGGCTTCATATTATGATAATAATGAAATTAAGAACAACAATACAACAAGCAGGCATGAAGTAACTTTAATAAGTCTTGCAGTTAATTTAGCAATTCGCAGTATAGGACTGAAGGAAGACTGAAATAAACTTAAAAGTWTAAGTACCTGGTAATGCAAGGGCTATATTTACTTGGCAACGATAGGAACTCTATATGTAGACAATTACAAGAGTTATATTATTCTTATGTAAACTATTTACATTCAGCTATATATCWAATGTATAACTAATCTCAAAGTTCTGGCTTTCAATTTTCAATGGTTTTTATATGCGTTTTCGTGATATCGGAATATGAGCTGATATTTCCAAGCAATCCAACCAATCAGAGATCGATCTCTGTATCCATTATTGTTGATATTTAATGATTTTATATTTCCTGCATATAATGACTATATTTATTTATTTCTGTTTMATAATGGTAATTGAACTGAGTGGAGTGCAATTTTTGTCTGAAATATAAMGAGCGATTACAAAATCGCACGACSGCGAAGCAGAAGTTTRCTTTCAGACCAAAATTGCACGAAACGAAGTTCAATGACCACTTAATTCTATCCATTTTGAAATCCTAATAAAAAAKATCAAATTTGTACTTAATRCAGTGCTTATTAAACAAATAACTGACTTTGTTARAACCGGAACCGGAAAGTCTTTTACATCTCATTTAAAATTCGTAAACGCCTGACAGGTCATGTCACTTCACTTCGAGAAAAACTACGGACTTGACAAATTTCAAACGAGCAGTTTATGTTCAAGTAAGAACTGAAATAATCCAATTTGCTCTATGACTTATATTTGCATTAAAAAATTGCTGTAAAAAAAACCCTAAAAAAATGTACATTTTGTGTGTTCTTTTTTGCTGCGGTCTGATTGGTTAACTACACAGAATCATGTAATATAATTGGTTATCTTTTACTAGTTTTGCATTGTGATTGGCTGGAAAAAAGATGCAATTTATTTGTTTTGAACCAATCAGATTTCTAGATTTGCTAGTGATTTCAAAATGGATATAATTAACTGATTTATCTCATTTATTACGGCGGATGAACGATAATTGATTACTTTAATTTATCTGAAATCGATTATATCTGGTTATCAARAGGATAAAACATACACTTGGTACAAAACATAATGCATAGTGTATATATTACTTGCATTATTCAAATAAAGTCATTAAAATCATTGATTSATTACTTGTACCTATTGAAATAACACGTAATAAATGATACAGCAAGGTTAATCATTATGTGGGTAAGCCGCTTTCCTTCATTGATTTGTGCTCCATTACCTCTGATTTCACTTCCTAGTTTCAATTTTCCACTATTAATGTTTATAAKTTTTGCTGTATCGTTGGATTTTTTGTCAATGGCCTGTTTTGTTTCATTTGCGCTCGARTCCCTTACCGGAATTGCTGAAGTTTCCTTCAAAAGATGTAACATATTCTGTAGTGAACCATTGTTAGGGCGTGGCTCAATCTCAACAAGATGGCATAACAGCTCATAGAGATCAATGGCGCGAAGAGTTCCATTATCATAAAATCCTTCTTTGAATGAAGGTCCTCTGGCGTAGAAAATAGCTCCCATTTCTTGTGAAGGCTCCCAGCCATGAGAACCACCAAGCCAGTATCCCTTAGTCCAGAGCATTTTCTCGTAAGTCCATCCAATTTCAGGTTGAGCGTATATTGGTGGRATACGCCTATTRTGCTTCCAGTGCAGACTTTCCGGGATGTCTTCCTTTTTGTAAAAGTTRATATGTGAGTTATTTAAGCGTTTCAAATCGTTGAGGACTTTTTCGACAGAATTTCCACCAATTGGCCATATTCCTGGTTTGTTGATGACGTAGTTGGATGGGTCAATGGCCTTGGACAAATCAATAAATCTTTCAGAACTGACCTCAGCCATACTGTGATCGGAAACAACCACTAAATTGGTAGTATCGAGCAAATTAGATTCTTTTAGTCTGTCAATAAGATACCCAAGTACATATCGATCGACGTATTCTATAGATTTGAGGTACTGGRTTGACTTAGGTCCATAATCATGCCCTTTGGCATCTGCATAGTCAAAATAGAGCAATACCAAACGTGGTGGACTACTGGACTTAATCCAGCGAATTGCAATTTCTATTCGCAACCAAAATGGATTTGTAACGCCATCAAATTTACAATGATTTGTACCAATTCTTTTTCGCAAGTTCCTGAGTGATCTTGTTGTGTAATAAGAGCAGTTGAAAATACAAACATGTTCGGCATGATATGATGGCCGTTGAGAGAAGCTCGTGCTTGTTGGCCAAAAATACGCACCAGTTTTTATTCCTCTCTTCTCCATCGTCGACCATATGGGCTCTGATTGCTGGTAAAATATGGGATTGAAATAGGAGCAGTCAGTGTTTAGAAAGTACTCCGCRTCCAGACCAGGATCGTAAAAATTATTGGAAACAATCCCATGGCTCTCGGGATAAAGTCCAGTTACGAAAGTCACATGRGTCGGTAGTGTATACGTKGGATTCACGGTTATCATATTTTTGGACTTCACACCAGTTTGAGCAAGAAAATCAAAGTTAGGCGTGTCAGTTTTGYTATTCCCGAGAAACTGCCATCCAATACCATCCAAAGAAATCAATATTGTAGTCTTTGCTTTGCTACCTTTAGCAGGCAGAATCATWTGAGAGAAAACAAGAATAGAAATCAAAGGAAATTTTTTCATGATAAGATAAGATGTCCGTTTGTAAAATATTGTTCAAATTATGTGTCTATGTTGTGTATTGCGGATAATATCGTCACCTTTTTTTAAGTAGTAGGCCAAGCTCATTTACATATCTTCTATCACAATACAAGCTGTTTTTGGTCAACCGCAAAAGAAGGATCGGGATTTATCGTGGATGTTTACCGAAACCATTCATCAAATAAGGTCTCAATTGAAAGAATTCGTATTGTAAGGAAATATAAAATCAATCAAGTCCAAAGTTTGCGGTTTGTATGATTATTGAATTTGGTTTCACTTATAGATAACTTAATCCTGTTGGCTTGTTCAATGAAATTAGCCAAGAGTTCACTTCAAATGCTGGAGAAGCTGGCACTTAATATCTTATCTGAACGCCCTCGGAACCGTAACAACATGCAAAATTGAACTTGTTTTTCAAAATRAACTTGAATTGGTATCAACTAGWTTTTACGTACTCCACAAAGCAAATAAAATATCATTCCTTCTAAGTACTTATCTTATTACATCATGTTTCAAAAAAGTTTGTTATTAATAAAACAGACTTTGCAAGACTGTCATGCTGCGGTTGAATGGAAACCAAATTGGTTTTATAGTATCTCAAGACGCGACAAGACGGACGCCTTTTGCTTAGATCTGGAAGATTCATGTCGGAAATGGGCCACCTGCTTAGTGATACTTAGGTTGTTGTAACAAGAATATTACTGATATATTCCATCGACAATAACTAACCTTTGAAATGCATTATGACTTCCCCAATAGAACTGAACAAACTAAATATATGAGGTTCTCAATTTGGGGGGAGAAGGGTGTATCTCGCGATTCACGGTTGATTGAAACCTTCAAGAAAACCACTAAAAAATCGTATTTGTCTTCTCTTCAAGCAATTTGTTGTTACCTGCAAAATACTCAATTTCATTTGCACACTTGGTACCCGCTTGTTACCTATAGCTTAAAAACACTTAACAGATRTTAAATTTATTGGAATATTTTCATCTGCGCTTCACCATCACAGATACACAAATCATGCCTTACACTATATAAGGTATTTTCCGGCTAACGATTATATTTTTCTCGTAATAATATATAGTATAATGGTTAATTATTTTAAAACTTAACGACTCAGGATAATCCTAATGAGACGCTCACATAGTGGTTTGTAACGTATCCTCTAGTATGAAACGAAGGAGGGGCAGAGGAAGAGAAAGACCCTAGCGCCGCTGAGCTTTCAAGTCCATCTGTTCATCCATACGGTCATTGAGCTTTTGGCCTGGCAGATTTTTTATTCCTCTACAAGATGTGTATACAATTTGAAATTTCCAAGCTTTACCAAAGGATTATGCGTTCTTTACCCTTTATAATACATATTATTGTATATTCGGGATATGTAATTCAGCTTAATTCAACTGTCATAACATCAACAAAGAGACAGTCAGACGAAGATAGATTGCGGTCCATAAAAGAATGTATTTATATATAACTGGTTTTAAATTCATTTGCAGTCTACGGGGGTGTATTAGTTTCGTCTAATCAGTAACTTTATTTGCTTAGAAGCAATTAGTCATATATTCACGTAGTTCAAAGATGATATTGGTAGTATGATTATAAAAATATATAATACAAATAACTCTGTTTTATTCTACTGATAAGATACAGAGCATCAGAAAATATTAACCTTTTTGTCAAGTAAAACCGCTAGTGCATGGGATTGCGTAGGATTCATCARCAGCCTGCTTCGGCATCTCTAATGAAACAGTAACAACCATGACAAAAAAATAGATAATATTGACATCACAAAATTGGTGGGAATATATGCTTAAGCGTTTTCAGTGAAAATAATTATTATTCGAAATTATATTTTTTATGCATGAAGCCTCGTAAACCATCTTTATTTAGAGTTGATGTTAATATAAAATTTGCATTATATACGAAAAACCTCAAAAAGATCACTTTCATTAAATGAAAAACCAAATATGAAGAAAAAATTAAAAAAAATCTAAAGAAAAACAGCAGTATTGGGTTATCTGTAAAGATATTCGGCAGATGTGGTGTAGTATAGTCGATTTGTTGGCTATTTGGGGTTTTGAACAAAAAAATCTGGTACCATGAAGAATGGTATCTAGATCACCCAAAGTTACAAATTGACCACAAAATCATCAGTAAAGTCAACATCGAAGTCAGTTTTTTTTGCTACACATCTCATTTGTATTGACTTCAGTACATGTGAAATCTGCGTTTGAAACAAGCATCACTTTGGTCATATAAGTCTGATTGCAAAGACGACCAACAGTAGCCTAGCAACGCTTATGAATTACCATTTCATACCGTGATAAGTCCCACAGCTTCCAAGTACTTTCTATACTCAATACTCTAGAAAAAGCCCTAGCTGTTTATTGAAAATTGCCTATGAGGCGGGGTTAAGGAATGATGACTTCAATAGCCGCCCTTTAGTCTAAGGGTGTCACAAATGCAAGCTTTTGCGGTTTAATGAAAAGAAAAGAAAAACGAGTATTCAAGTTTAGCCATGAATCCTATTGCAAAATATGAACAATAAAGAAGAGTGCTCAGAACTCCTAAAAACGAATCTCAACATCACTGGTCTTTTCTCGTTTGTTGCTGCTGTTGGTCCTGTTGTTATATTTTTCTATGTTTTTTGGTTAATTAGTGCTTCTGTAGAATAGATAAGGTCTCTACTTTTTTTCAACGCAGTATATCAACGATGGCGTTGGCTGACTTGCTCATTAAAGCTGTGAAACTCTCAGTAGATTCCAGTGTTTGCACWCCATGATATGAAAATTATGAATAAATACCGTTTTTTAAATGCTCATTTATTGTAGTTGTTAATCATTAAATTAAACTCTAGTGGTTTACACGAAAAGAAAAAATAAGTGCGATATTTCTAGGTCACACTGTCAACATCATATCAAATAAAAAAGTGAAAATTTACAACGCTCAACACAAAGTTTGCCAGTTAAAACTTCACAATTTTACCTTATTTATGTGCTAGTATCACCTCGAAAAGCGCTATTTTCGCTTTTCTTAATCTCAAATTGTAATAATCATTTTACATAATAGTCAGTGGAAAAAGACGGTTCATGCAATATCAAGGTTATTTTATAATGCGGTGTACAAAATTGCTCCCAGCAGCACCAACACCACTCCAACATTTTGTCGATTTGCCGTGATCAGAGTACGTTTCTTCAGCATTAGGTCCACTCCAGCACTCCCCATAAAATTGAATCCCAAAATAGGTGTACCTGAAAACAGAACATTATTCTCATTTCGRAAATATTGTCGCTCCGATTTGAGTCATGCAATGTAGTTGGATTATAATCATAAAAGTAGTTATTCATTAGTCTGTATTTACGAATTACTTTTGAGGGGCTGCGCAATAATGGTCAGGAGAGCGTGTTCAGTATCCAGAGGGGGAGGGGGGTATAGTTAAAACTTATGTCTTGAAAGACATGGGGAAGGGGTAACGTCCAAGTTAAACTCAACGAAGGAGAGGTGGAAACATCTAACTTTAGTTTTAAACCGATCAGAAAACTCAAAACAACAGTGGCATTATTGTAGAAAATGTAACAAATCGTCACAAACCCTGTCTCAAAATTGCAGCGACTTCTACAGGTCCCCATAAAATCAATCAAAATCGATCAAAGTTGCTCAAAGTCGCCCAAAATTCCCTTCAGTATAGTATAAATTACTAAATTAGCACAGAGTCACAATAGCACTAGTCCTACAGCTAAATATATACCAAAACTTTCAAATGTTCTAGTTTACTTAAACTTTTGCCTATAATACACCGTAATTGTCATATGATAGTTTCCAGTCTGACTAACTTTAATTCAAAAAAATTGACGCTCGAGACTTCAGTCCATCCTATTATAACATTTCTGAAAATAAAATGTCCATAAACACAGATGCCAATGCCAGGGTACGATSAGACTCAGCCAAGTCAATATGTCGGTCCAGATTCCCAGACGATCAAGTTGTGCCCTAACACATCTCTCCTTACATGTCATTATCAATGGATTTTTGCAAAAGAACACACCACTATCCGAACTGGGTTCTATGTAATGACTAATGATATAACAGTAGCTGTGAAAATAACTGCGACCTACTACTCTTTAATTTGGTACACCATCGTGCCACAAAGTTAACAGGAATTACACAATATTTCTAATATTGTATATTATCGGAAATAGTCATTAGTGGTTCCATCATAGCTGAATATCATTGCCGGTTTTCAAACCGAGTAGGGACTGTGCAAAATCCCCTAATGAGACAGGGACGAGATTAGACTTAAATGGATGAGAAATGAAAAAGACCAAACTTTGGTGTAAATCAGTTCAGTAGTGAACGAGCTACAGACTTTCAAACATTCTAAAATTTCCAAACAAAACTGAAATCGCGAATGTGTCCGCATWTGGATCTTTTTTCGGACACAATCATTTTAATTTCTTTGGAACGAAAGTTTAAGGCTGATTTACACGGCACGATTGTCTCGTGCGATTTGTAGTATACGACTTGAATCGTGCAGTGTAAATGCCCMCTACGACTTGTCTACAACAGTCGTACACAACCTACGACTTGTAGTAGGATTTTGAACCACTGCTTAAAWTCCTACGACTTGTACTCAGTAGGAAAATCGTAACTAGAAGTCGTACGCGACAACGTACCGTGTAAATCAGCCTTTAGAGTATTTAAAAAACTTSAACTCGTTCACTAACTGATTACACCACATTTTGACATTTTGCATTTCTCAATCGTTAAGTAATMWTTAGGTCATTTTTCAATTCCCTGTGCCCACTGATCATGATCGGTTTGGAACTCTAAAATGAGGTAAATACAGACTAACAAATTCTACTTTTATAATTGTGTTCCACCGTTCAAGTGCGTTTACTCTATTTTGAACTAACCCCTTTTCTTTTGTCTTCTCTGCGCACTGATTCACGGTCTTGTCCATATTATGCCAGTCAATTGATGGTCTGAAGTTTGCAATGAGTTCTGGTAGTGGTCTGCTTTGACCTCCGTTATCCTTGAAGCAGCCAACCGGCCTGTGTTTAACTATAATATAAAAATAAGGTAAACACCTAATAGCGGAGCTCCAATAGCAATATAGAAGAAAATGATTATCTAGTACTACTATTTTAAGGATAGCATTAGTAGGGATGCGCTGTTTCAAGGAATGTAAACACAACATCTTTTGTTGACATGCAAACAAATATTATAAACATATTTCTTATATTTAGCTTAAGAAAGAGTATGTTTATGAGAATTTTGTACTCTGAATTTAYTGACTTCGGTATATTTTGTTAATTTGGACGAAGTTATTATAAGTAAACTGAAAATTTCTCGCCAAAAGTAGTCTAGTAAATCAATCAGATTAAACGCGGCAAAATATMGATGTGTTTCAACCCGGCCCACTCGAACTTACAGAAAACTGGACAAGAATATCTTACATATGTTACCTTAAATATTGAACTTCTGATAAATGTAGCTCTCTGAAATACCGTGAAAATTCTATAGATAAGCTTAGTGCGTTTTTTTGTTTTGTTGGTTTTTTTGTTTTTGTTTTGTTTGTTTGTTTTTATCGTCGGTAAGCTTAAGTTAAAACTCAAACCATCGGAGAGACATGCAATGAAAAACTCGCCTTATCGYCTCGCTCAAAGATCATATTCAGCAGAACCAAACTTGTTCCAAGCCGCAAAGGYTTCGTCAAGTTATAAARTCATTTAAGACAATCCATTGCTGTTGGTATGGTCTTGGTTTCAAAATGTGACACACTATTCGACAAACGATTTAACAGACATCGTTGCTTTTCCCCATATTATTGCAGTATTTCCAATACAGTATAATCTTTTTCTTGTTGTCGAAATATCAAAGCAAAAAGCCATCCCGTTTTCCTTTTTTCTTATTACTAAAAGTGGACCTAAACACGCTTGAAAATAAATTGCTTTTCATCTTCGCAAATCGATTTCCCAGATGTGCACACGCGTCAGTTATGACAAAAATTGGCGGGAATATTTCTGTGTTTTGAATTCGCTCTCCATTGTATTTTTTGCTTGTGATTAATTTTTCTAACATAGTCAATTTGTAAGATATAAATGCTTGCGGAAAAAATTTCGATGTTTCAACTAATATTTTGGCGCTTTTTTTTCCTTTTCGCACGGTTTATGGGTTTCCTGTTGTGTACACGGACGCCCGGAAGGAAACGTGCGTACGCGCGKGAACCCCGCATCTGTCCATGAAAAATGGACTCCATGGTATGCGATAAAGAATAATAAAAAAATACTAACCTTTTTTACAATTAATTCCTTCAAAACCTGGTGCACATGTGCAACTATAACCTCCAATATTGTTCACGCATGTGCTTCCACTTTGACAGGGAATTTTCAGACATTCATCGATATCTGGAGTACATATTTCATATCACAAAACAGCAAGTTACAGTTTTTATTAAGCGACTCTTTTCACTTAGAAAATATAATCAAAATATGACAGAGAATATTAGTATTGAAAAAGTGACAAAGGATGCAGGGTTAAAATTTCAGAAAAAATGGAGTTAAAAAACTAGTATGACAATTTGTTTATGTCACATGATGTGCTCATTAACTAATAATTATACAAATTGCTTGATTGTTTATCTTAACCTTATTGTTTTGTTAAAATTATTATTTAGGACGCCCAAAACAATCTTAGACAGCAGTAAGACCGCTCAGGATAAGACACAGATTAAGTTTGATAGAGCACATAATTGATTTTATTTTTCTCTGAAATTTAAAGCCTGCATAGCCAAGCTATTATATAAGATTATAATTCGCTTTACCTTTCTCACAGTTCTTTCCTTCAAAACCCGATGTACAAACACAACTGTAACCACTGTCATTTTCAACACATTTCCCACCATTTTGGCATGGTTTTCTTTGACATTTTTCTAMTTCTGAAAGGCAATATTTTAGAGMAATCAGTTCCTTTTGAGTAGTCAGTACATGTAAACCAAAAMAAATCACCTTTTTCACAATCCTTTCCTTCAAATCCAGGTGTACATGTGCAACTGTATCCCCCATTATTGTTCACACACTTGCCACCAT